TGCATTTGGCAATTTCTTGGCATTGTTGAGCGTTGCATTGCATGACTCAGCATTGCTTTGCGTTGCTTGACATTGCGTTACATGTCTTTGCATTGCTGTGCACTGCGTTGCATACATGTTGACTTATTTGCGTTGATTTGCGTTGCTTGTTGCGTTGCTTTTTGCGCTGCTTTGCGTTTCAATCACATTGTTCTTATTCGCGTTATTTTGCATTGTTTTGCGTTGCTTTGCATTGCTTCGCGTTTCTCTTCATTGCATTCCACTGCGCTGTACTGGTTTGTATTGCTTCCAGAGTTGTTCCTCAGTCAGCGCATGTACTTAGGAAACCTTACCTGTTCTATACGGAAGTGGGCCTGGGTGTCGGTGCGGCCGGCTTGTTCTCGCCGCGCCGCCGCCCGTCGCTGCTGTCCGTCGCCCTTGCTTCCTTGACCTGGGTGTCGGTTGCCGCGCTTGTTGTCGCCGTCGCCGCCCGTTGCCGCCGTCTGTCGCCGCTCCATTGCACCTGGGTATTGGTCGCCACGCTTGTCGTCGCCGTCGCCGCCACGTACCTCACACCATGTAGATTAGATTGCGCCACATGGCTTGCACCATACACATCTGTAATCATATATATATATATATAGATTGCTTCACATAGAATGCTCCACACAGCTTCCACAACATTATAGATTGCACCACGTAGCTTATATATATTGCACCACATACCACAACACAGTTTACACCACACATATTCCCCCACGCATGTTGCACAACATAGCTCACACCGTATAGATCGGGCCCCACAGATTGCACCACATAGCTTATACCACATAGCTCACACCACATAGATGAGCACGTTTGCACTACATATGTTGCACCACTTGTTTGCATTGCATTGGCTGCACCACTTAAACTGCGCACCACATAGATTGCACCACATAGCTTACACCTCATGTTCTGCACGACGTGTGTCTGACCACATCGATTGCATCACGTAGTATGCTAGAACAAATTGTTAGGGGTCTCCGCTGGCTAACATCTAGAAGCCCCAATATGTCGGGGGAACACGTACATCCGCTGCAAATTGTAAGTTGTATGCCAGTGTTATATTTGTTTTAACCAAGTGATCTTCGCCAGCAGTACAGGCACGCGTGCCAGTGAAGGTCAGCCCGTTTGTTGGGATGGTCCATGTTGGCTTTAATTTCGCGCAAACCAGATCCTCTGTTGAGATATCACCCACGCCGATGAGACGCGCGTGTTTGATATTTGCTCGCTGATGTTATGGCTTTCTTGCACAGCTTGGTGATTGAATCGTGGTAGTTGACATGCTGATTCAAGTCATGCGTGTCTCAATGTGTGTGTGTGTCAGTGTGTGCGTGTGTATGTGTGTGTGTGTGTGTGAGTGTGTGTGTGTGTGTCTGTGTGTGTGGGTGCGTGCGTGCGTGCGTGCGTGCGCGTGTGTGTGTGTGTGTGTGTGTGTCTGTGTGTGTGTGTGTCTTGCCCGTCTGCCTGCCTTTGCAGCGTCGCCGCGCGCGAGGCCGCGACACCAAAAGCAAGCCTGTATGTGTGTGTGCGTGGTGTGTGTGGTGTGTCTCTGTGTTTGCCAGACTGGACGACATCTGGCGCCAGCCAGGGCACCCGGCGGGCGCGAGACGGGCACGGGCGGCGGCCACCAGAACGCCACGGAGGCGGCCACGAGGCGGCCACGGAGGACACCCGGGCGACCATCCAGGGAGCCCAGCCGGCGCACGAGGTGGCCACGAGGCGGCCACGAGGCGACGACTTCCCGAGCACCGGGGGAACCCAGTGCGCGCACGAGGTGGCCACGAGGCGGCCCGGGGCGACGACCTCCCGAGCACCTGGGGAGCCCAGTCCACGCACGAGGCGGCCACGAGGCGGCCCGGGGCGACAGCTGTGCGAAAACCCGGGGGAAACAATATGATTCCTTAGTGCAAGCACGAACTTGTGAACTAGATGCGCGTCTCGACAGTGCGCGCTCGACTTCCATCGTTTTGGCCATCGCAGGCTGTTTCTGCCCCTGGTTTCCAGCTAACTCGAGCACGTGTGTCACAGATGTGTAGTCAACAGTGGAGGGCTCGCGCTGCTTCGCCTCAATACTGGTCCTTCGTCGTGGCAAGATACTGCGCACCATCACTGTGACTACGGGCGTGAGGCGCTGGCAGCATTGCAATACGAGCTATGGCGACGTGCGTCCTGGGTGAGAAGCACCAGCACTTGAAGGCCTACATGTGTGGAAGACGTATGCGGCGTCTCGGCGTGAGCGAGCGCCGTCGGTGGAGATCTGCTCTCAGACGTGGCCCACGGCCCTCCCTTGGCCCTTGCCCGCGGCCCGCACGCGGCCCTCTTGTGTCGTTTGTGGGGCCTCTTGGGCCGACTTGGGGCCATCTTGGGCGTCTTAGAGCGCTGTCGGGCTGCCGTGGATATCTCTTGGGCACTTCTTGGGAACTTCTTGGAGCCCTGTTGGCCTGTCCGTTGGGTCCTCTGGCCTCTGGAGAAATCACGCGAGGAAGCCCGAGAAAGCCCAGAATTCTCAGACATGTCAAGATTTGGGGATCCCTTCCTTCGGTAAAAAAATATTTCAATATTGAATACGGAGTACAGAGAAACCTAGAAGCCTGATCAACACTCCACTTCGCGCCTCGAGGCACGATACATACATATACATATATTTGCACACTCAACGATATACATATTTACACCTACTTTCACCCATGTGTGCGCATGTAAACACATATTTATATGTACACACATGTATATACATATCTACACCTACTTATACATACATATGTGTGCACACATGTGTGTACATGTAATGTGTGTACCGTACATGTGTATGTATGTTTATACATGGTGTACACAAAAGGGCTCGTTGCCGTCTTCTGGTGTTTGTTCGACGGACGCTTGAGCATGCGCGTGTGACTCGTCAGTTGCACGGCCTCTCCTCATCGTCCATGTCCTGCCCTCCATTCTCCTGCTCCCCCTCGTCCGCCCCCCTCCCACCAATCACCCAATCTGTTGGCTCAAGCAAGTGCGGCGCAAGCCACAGCGGTGCAGGTGCTGGGCGATGCTGGCGCCGTGCGTAGCCGCGCGCCCGCAGCCGCTGCGCGTTGGCACCTCCCGCCTGCCGCCTGTGCCGCAGGCAGCGGCGTCGGGCAGCGCTGTGAGTTCCAGGGGCGCCGGAACTGCCGCGGCCGCCGCCGCGGCGCTGTCGGCGCCGCGAGCCCGCGGGCGGGGCCGGCGCGGGCTGGGTCGAGCGCGTCTTGGGCTGCGGCTCGGCGGCGCAGCGGCACGTCGGGGTCTGGAGCCTGGTGCCCATGACGCTGGCGTGCCGCTGCCCCCCGGCGTCGCGGCGGGGCACCGGCCCCAGAGGCTCGAGCTCTCGGAGCGGCAGCTGGCCGACTTCGACCAAGACGGCGTGGTCCTCGTGCGCGGGGCGCTGCGGGGCTGGGTGGAATTCCTGCGGGCGGTCACCGACCACCAGACCAGCCACCCGCACCCGCGGGCGCGCGACTTCGGGTTCTACGAGTACTACCAGCGGGAGCTGTGGGCTACGAACGACGGCTTCAGGGACTTCATCTTCTACTCGCCGCTGGGGCACGTCCTCGCGCAGCTCGCCCGGACGGCTTCTGTCCGGCACTGCACGGACGTGCTCATGGTGAACCCGATCAAGGACATCTCGTGGCACCAGGACAGCCAGAACGGGCCCGTCGACCGCGCCGACCTCGTCCGGTGGTGGGTGGGCATGGACCTCAGAGGCAACGTTGAGGGGAATAGGCTCAGGGAAGATGCATCGACCACCCCCAATCGCCCATGGATCGCCGGTCGGGGCCCGATATAGCCCACCCCGCCCAGGACCGTGGGGATATTCGCTATGTGGGGCACATCGCCGATCTGTCGGCGATGGATCGCCGATTCCAGGCTGACGTTCCCCCCCTGAGCCAGTCCTCCCCCCCACCGCTGCCCGCCAGGACTCGGGTCGGGCGAAAGGGGGGGATTGGGAAAGGGGGGGTTACGAAATTTGCTGCATGCAGCTGGTTTCGGCCTCACCGAGGAGCCCATTCCTCGATACATTGTCGCCTCCGGCGCCAGGAGGCGCCGGGAAAATCAGCTAAGGGAGCTGATTCTCAAACCCCCCCTTTGCTATCCCCCCCTTTCGCCCGACCCGAAGGACCCGTGCGGCGAGGGCGGCATTGGTGCACCCATCTTCCTCCGCGGCTCCCACCGCAACGCCACGGTCGGCCCCGCGGAGTCGACCGTCGACCTCGCGCGGGGCGACCTGCCGGCGTTTGTCGGGAGGCCCACCGCCTATGCGGTCGGCTCAGCGACTGCTGACCGCGCGGTCGGCGATCACAGGTCGCCGTACTCGGGGGGATCGCGTGATCGCCGCTCGCGTGGTCGGTCCGGCCTGATCGCGCGGTCGTCCGAGCCGAGAGGCGCGATCGATCCGTGCTCGGCGCGGCAGCCTTGGCGATCCGGGCTGCGCTCGGAGCACGCGGTCGGGGGGCATGATCTGCCGAGTGCTCGGCCAGACGCTCAGGTGGTCGAGCCCGGGGACCTCATCGCGTGGGACGTCCGCGCGATCCACCGCGTCAGCGCCCCGCCCCCCGGCACCGCTCGCCGCGCGCTCGGCGGCACGGCCGCCAGGTCCGGGGCACTGTACCGGTGCAAGAAGGACTGGTAGGGCTTCGGGTTGCGCGCAGACGGCCCCCGCAGGTAGCCCCAGCTGGCCTCGACAGATCTCCCGCGTAGAGTCCCAGCTGGCCTCAACAGTCGCCCCGCGAGTGGTCCGAGGCGGTCTCAACACCCCGCCGCTGCCTGCGGCGGCGCCTCTGGGACGTTCCCCGCCCCAGGGCTGAGGTGCTACAGCCAACCCGCACAGTTAAGGATGAGCGACTTTCTGAGCTTACCCTCGCATGCTTCCCCTGCGGCGCATCCTTGGCCGCTTTCGCTGGCCGCTTCCCGCCCGTACGGTGTCGACATGGCCTCCCGAGGCCCCTGTGCATCCTTACCGCTCGTCCTTGCCATGCGTGTTGCCTGTCCTCGGAGGGCTGCCCCACGCTGGTGCGGGGCCTGCCCCTGCCCCGCCGCCGACGACAGACCTGTGCTCGGGATGCCTTCTTGTGGAGACCAGCCGGGACTGCTCGAGAGGTCTGCTGAGGCCCACCGGAAACTGCCCCGGGGGGGGGGGTGGCTGTCTGCGCGCAGCCCGAAGCCGCACCAGCAAGGACGGCGTCGCCCCGTGCGACTACGACGGCCACGGCCTCGAGGACGGGGCGCCGCTCGCGGGGCCCTTCTTCCCGCGCGTCTTCCCGCGGCGCGAGCCGGCCGAGGAGGCCTTCCGCTCGCAGGGCCGGGTCCGCTTCCTGCAGCGGGACCCCTGGGGCGCCGCCGCGGGGGCGGCGGCAGCGGCCGGCCTGGGCCTCGCCAGGGGCATGGCCGCGGCATTCCGCCTCGGGGGCCCCTCGTGAGGTGTCGGGGAAGAGGTGATGGCGCAAGCTCGAGCTCTCGGAGGCCCGCGCGGAGGCCTCGGGCCGGCGCTGGAGCGCCCCCCGGGCGGCGCCTCTGGCGCATGCCTGCGCTAGGAGGGGCAGCGGCTTCCAAGCCTCGGGGGCGACTCGTGAGGTCGGCGGGCTGCTGCCGCGGCGGGTCGGCGGGCGAGGCTGGGCGCGCGGCGGCGGCGGCGGACGCCCTGCGCGCGCGACGGGGTCGTCCGGGAGCCAGCTGGGGCCCTGGGGCGGCCCAGCATTGGTGGGGCGGGGCTAAGACAACGATGTATATATATATATATATATATATATATATATACACATACATACATATGTATATATTCACATCTGTGTGCACATGTGTGTGTATGATCCAGGTTTGCACGCCCTCCCCCCAGAGCACAGATCGACTCCTCCCTCCCCGCCGGGATGGGTGGGCCCTTTGGGCCTCGCGGAGGCCTCGCGAGTGGGATCGCCCCCCGCCCCCCCTCCCCTCCTGTGGTCGTGGCGCTGGGCGTGGCGTGGTGGAGGGTACCGGTGTTCCCCCCCCCCTGTGGGTGGCGTGGGGCGGTTCGTCGTCGTCGTCGTCGTCGTCCGTCGTCGTCGTCGTCGTCGTCGTCGTCGTCGTCGTCGTCGTCGTCGTCGTCGTCGTCGTCGTCGTCGTCGCCGCACCCCCATCCCCTCTGGGGTGGGGGGGCTGTTGAACCCTGGGACCCATCCCATCTGGTGTTGGGGGTCTGTGAACCTTCGACCTTTTTTTAAAACAAAAACACACATATATATATGTGTACATTCATATTTATACACATATATATATAGATGTATAACTCTCTCGGAGAGCTCCGAAACGCTCTGGGAAGCCTGTGACGCCCGATGCATGCTCCAGAACCGCTGGACCTCAGAGATTCCCAACTCATCCTTGTCCGATTGGGTCCCTGTCCTGGATTCGTCTTGACGGGTTCCGGCCAGCAGAAAGGGTGGGCGAGAGTCGAGGTTTGGGGTTCGAGAAGTGTTTTAGTTGTTGTTCGGTCTCCCGGGGCCGGGGCTCCGGGGACGGATTTCGCGGAGCGCGCACGACTCCGGCGTTCGTTTGTTCGTTTTTTGTTCGTTCCACCGCCTTGGTCGATGTTCTCGGGGCCCCTTCAGCTCAGACCCATCTCCGCCTATAATCAAGGGCATGGAAAAACGCCCCTGCCCTGGTTTACGAGGCGCTGTGCGCTGAAACTCCTGTGGGCTGACAGGGTAAACCCTGCGTGATGTGCGCCGCGTCCTGGCGGTTCTAGGCTTTGGGGGTTCCCAGGAGGTTTACAGACCACGCACTTGTAACCCAGGGTAGGGTCGTTTTTTCATCCCTCAATATAAGTGTGGTCCCTGTCTTTCTGGGCAGCGCCCTCGCCGCACGCGTGCCGCTGCCGGCAACAGCGCGCCCCCCCTGCGCTCCTCAAGCTTCTCCAAGGTAAGACGCTGCAGCGCTCTGAAGCTCGCAACTGCCCAAGACAATGTCCTGCGAATCACAGAGGACTCCATGCGATCCCTGCCTGACGATGCAGTTCCCTTGTATATTAAGGTAAACTTCAGAAGAGGAAAAGGTACCCATACCGCTATTCTTGCCTCGTTTTCCCCCTTTATTGTCCTCCTGGGAGGCCCTCGTCGCCACCTTTGGATTTGCCTTGAAATCTTGGTCAGAACGCACTCCGGGAGAGGTCCAGGGAGTAGCCGTATCGGTACCTTTTGGTCTCACCAGAGTCTGGCAGGTTTGCCTGAACCTCCTCTTCCTCCTCCTCCCCGCCTTCGCCCTGCCTCCTTCCCCATCCTCCCTGCTTCATCCGAGGTGGGAATTTATCCATATCCACCGCCTGGAGGGTCAGTGTTCGGAGCCTCGGCAGGCGGTGGATATGGACATACTCGGGCCCCGGGGGGCCGAACGATATCCATATCCACCGCCCGCTGGGGCACCAGGACGTCGGTTCCCAGGCGGGGGATATGGATAACAAATCCCCGCCTCACACTTCAGGCCGGCTGGATGGCAGGAGTCCGATGAGGGCCATCTTGCCCTTGGACGTTCGGCTGGAGGGAGCAGTTGCTCGCCTCCCTGGAATCGTAGTGTCAAGCCGGGCCTGTCCCTCTACAGGGGGCATACTCAAAAATGGTCCAACAATAGTCTGGGGACCATTTTGTGAGTATGTTTGGGCATCTTTTGAACATGGTTTGACCATTTTTTATTTTGCGTCCACATTCCCCCTGTATAGGAGGACAGGTCCGACTGAATCGCAGTGCCATGCCGCCGAGGCCGGCCAGACGGCACGTGCCCCTTCTTTCGGCACGCTCGGCTCGAGCGCGCAGCTGCTCGGGACCGAACACCTCTCCGTGCCACCTGAATCTATGGTCTTTGCTTTCGTAGATCGTCAGCATTGCACGCTCGGGTGGAGCGCGCAGCTGCTCGGGACCGAATATATTTCCATGCCACCTGAATCTATGGTCTTTGCTTTCGTAGATCGTCAGCATTGCACGCTCGGGTGGAGCGCGCAGCTGCTCGGGACCGAATATATTTCCATGCCACCTGAATATATGGTTTTTGCTTTCGTAGATCGTCAGTATGGCGGCGCGCCCTCAACTTCGCCGCCTGCTGCCGTCGTCGAATCTGTTTTTGTTCCAGCAGATGTTGTCACTGCGAGATGCGGTCGGCCTGCTCGTGAACGGCCGATGGGCCAAGCAGTTGCAAAAATACTGTGATATGGATAGCGGCGCGCGGTGCGATGCATCCGCCCCTTCTCTGGATTTAGAGGCCCACGAAAAAAAACTCCCGGCTTCATGCGGTTACAGTGGAAACCCATGCCAAAAAACACCTTGCTTGCCTCCAGGGTGCCCTGGGTTCTTGGGTCTCGATGCTTTTGCTGTGGAAAGCGTGGCGTTCCCACACCAAAAGTCGACGGACGTCCTGGGGTCTCAGGGTTGGGCTTCTTGTGGGAGGTCTCTTGTGGTCGAGCTCCCACTGTACATGTTGGCGGTTCGAGTTTTTCCTTATCCAGCACCTCATTCCAGGCGGGTCCTCAAACCCGGACCTTCCAGAGACCTATTTTTTAGCACTGGAGGCCTAAAAACCTAACCGAACTAAACGAAACAGCCTAAAACCAAGACGTAGAATAGCTCCAGGCTAGGTTTTCTTTAGTCGGGTGCCATGCTTTAGCCCTCCTGGAAGGTCGGGGAAGTGAAACGCGAACCTGGTCGTCAACGTCAGCACCTGCACCAGGAGCCTCTCCGCAGGCCGCCGGCGCGAAGAGCTGCGCGCCTGCGCGCCCCAGACTGGTGCCCTGGCATCGTTCGGACGTGTGGATTTTTTTTCGGCGAGGACCATCGAGGACCATCCTGGACCATCGAGCAAAAAAAAAACACGAAACCGGAAAATGCACGGGAAATGGACCGGCCGGCGCAGGGAGGAGCCGCAGGAGAGGGCGACGCCACCGACGTGGGCCAACTGGCGCCTCCCTCCTCCTCCTCCTCCTCCTCCTCCTCCTCCTCCTCCTCCTCCTCCTCCTCCTCCTCCTCCTCCTCCTCCTCCTCCTCCTCGCGCGGCGCGGCGCGAGGCCCTTCTTCAATGCAAGTGGCGTGCGCCATGCCGCCGGCACCCCCCCATGGTTGGACCTCGCGGAGGGCTCCTGGGGGGCTTCGGGGGGGGCTCCGCGTGGCTGCGTGGGGGCCAGTTGGGGGGCCTCTCGGGAGCCTCGCCCGGGCCTCGTGGGGCCTCGTGGGGGCGCGCGCCGGTGGAGGCGCCTTGGGGCGCCTGTTGGGGGCGCCTCGGGGGCCTCTGGGGGCCTCCTGGAGCCCTTGCGGGGGGCAAGGCTCGCCATGCCAATGCGTAGCCCCCCGCCGGGGCCCCTCGCGCCCAAGCCTTTGGAGGTGCGGTGTTGTGCTCTCCTGCCCTGCTGGACGCCCAGGGCCGTTTCTCTGCACACCCCTTCGCTGAGGAGTCTCGCCGCAGTCTTCCGCCGCCCAGGCTCAGCCCACTAGCGCGTTGGGGGCTTCGTTCGGGTGGCAAGCCCTGACGCCCAGACGTCGCTTGGCGCTGTGCTGGGCCACGTGTCGGACCGCACGCTGCGCCGCGCGGAGGCCGGTCTCATTCTGCGGGACTCTTCTTCTGGCGTGAGGGGTCACATGCAGTCAACCCGCATGGTAAACATGCGCGACTTTCAAAGGTTACCATGGTATCTTTTCCCTTCGGCCCATCCTTGGCCGCTTTGTCTGGCCGCGCCCCGCCCGCAGAGTGTCGAGGTGGCCTTCCAAGGCCCTTGCATCCTTACCGTGCGTCCTTATTGTACGGGTTGATGTGTCAAAGCCTGCAGGCCGACCGATGAAAAGGCAGCGATGTTCGGTCTGGAGCTGGCCCTCTTCTCCTCGCCCTCCTTCCTCGCTCTCCGCTCGCTGTCCTCGACGTCGCGGTGGAGCTGTATCAGCCCGGGCCAGCAGAGGGGGGGCATGAGGTTGCGTTGAATCTTCGAGGACCTCGCCTGCCCCCCACAATTGGTGTCTGTTGCTCGTGCCCGGCGCGGGCGCCACGTACACTCGGAGCGGCTCTGGCGTGGCTTCGAAACGGTCCCGGCACGGATCCGAGGAGTTCGGCACGGATGCGATACGGACTCTTCGGATGCCACTCCTGGGAGGTCAAATTCTGATTCAGCCCTGGTCCGAAATCCCGCTCAATCCGGCTCTTCCCGCTTAATCCCGCTCACTCCGGCCTAATCCCAGTCAATCCCGATGAATCTGGCTTAATCCCGCTCGATCCGAGGCCCACTCCGGCGCAACAGACCCCCAGTGGGGCTCACTCCTCCTTCATCCTTCCGACGAAAACCTCCCAGTAGTTGCCTCCTGCGGACTCGATGCGGCCAGGGCCGCGACGGGACAGACAAGGTCCCCCCGAGGGATGCAGCACAGAGCCCCAGGAGCGTGGCCTTCCGTGCCCCAGGAGTCGCTGCGAGGGAGCGCACAGCTCCGCACCGCACTGGCCCCCCTTCGCCGAAGCGGGGGCGGAGGCCGTGCGGCCACACGGCCCCCGCGACCTCGGGCCCTCCGAGGCCCCCACCCGGACGAGTGCCCCGTCTCTTGGCACCGCTCGGACGTGTGCATCTTCTTCCTCGGCGAGGACCATCGAGGAGCATCCTGGATCACTTGGCGACAAAAACCGCGCGCACGAGGCCGAAAAAGGCACAGGAAGTGGACGTCCGAGCGATGGCCCCTTCTCTGCGCAGCGCTCCGTCCTCAAGCTGATTGACGAACGAACAACACACACACACACCCATACCCATAGGGAGGTCGTTGGGAGGAGGACAGGCTATGGGTATGGGTGCGGGTTGTCGGACCCTGGGGAACGCTCCCGTTCGAGCGGGGACCCCCATCCGACAACACGCACCCATAGCCCTCTCCGATCCCCCTATGGGTATGGGTGTGTGTGTGTGTGTTGTTGGCTCGTCACTGAGGGGACGGGTTGACTCCAAGGAGCCCAGCCGGTCCGAGCCTTCGGCTTCCGAGGCAGCCGCGGTGTGCTACACGGCGTCTGAGCTCTGCGGCGCTCTCCGGCGCCGCAGCAGCTCAGATGTCCTATAGAGGGCCGCCCCCCCGAGGTCTCAGGGGGCCGCCACCCAGGAGGGGAAAAAGCACACAGACACAATTGATCGTCGATTCCCCAGAAAGTATGGGAAAATGTGGGAAGTGGGGGGGAAGACAGCAACCCAGAAAAGATGGGAAAATATGGGGGAATAGTTTTATTTGTGTGTATTTCTTTGTGTGTCCTGGGCCCCTTTCAACAGATGTCCTAGAGGGCCGCCCCCCCGAGGTCTCAGGGGGCCGCCACCCAAAGGGGCGAACATCGGCGCCTTGCCTGGCCTTGCCACTCAGAGAGGTCGACGGTAGAATATGCTGCGCCGATTCGCTCTCGACACCGGCGTTCGCGGTGTACTGGCGCAGGCCCCCGTCGGCTTCGCGGATCGACGTGCGTTCTGCCAGGGAGCCCTCGGAAGTTCTTGGACGTCGGTTGGCTGTTCCGCCAAGGTTTGCTTGGAATGTGCGGTGCCGCGCGCACCCGTGGAGTGCCCCCGAGAGTTTGCAGTTAATAAAAGGGCGCCCAGCGCCGCAGAGGAAGTTGTTCAGTCAGCGAGGGGCTCTCAAAGGAGAGCATGCCATTGTTTCCCTGCTCTTCCATTTTTCTTCCTCCCTCCTCCCCTCCTCCTCCTCCTCCTCCTCCTCCTCCTCCTCCTCCCTCCCTCCTCCTCCTTCTCCAACGCCCGCGTCTCCTCCTCCTCCTCCTCCTCCTCCTCCTCCTCCTCCTCCTCCTCCGCCGCCTCCTCCTCCTCCTCCTCCCCCTTGTCCCCCCTTGTCCTCCCACTGTGTCAGCACCTTGGTGTCACTTTAGTGCTCCAGGCTGGCTGGAGGTCAGGAGCCCGATGCGAGCCGTCCGGCCCCTGAACGTTCGGCGAGGGCCAGCAGGCGCACGCCGCCCGGGGGCTCGCAGTGCCACCTCGCTGCGGCCTGCCGGAGGGCGTGTGGTCAATCCTGCCCCAGAGCGCTCTGTGTGAGCGCGCGGTTGTCCCACGCATCTCGGGGGTCCCCAAACGGGGTCGTGACCACACCGTGTGGTCAGTCGGTGGGGATTCAGGGTCACCGCACGGTTTTGGGACGCGGGTCGTGCTCCGAGAACGTCTCGGGCGGTTGGGGCATCCGAGGTCCCAAAACCGTGCGTTGACGGACCGTGCGGTGAGGTCTTGTGGGATCTCGAGGTCACCGCACGGTCTGTCACCGCACTGCTTCAGGACTCTAAATTATCTCCCCCCTCCTCGTTACTCGCCGGTCGTTGAAAGTAGGAGCGTGTTTCTTTGTTGCTTGGGGCATAATTGGCATTATAGCCCCTGATTGTTTTGATGCTTTTGGTTTTTGGCCCCCCCTTCTTTCCCCCCCCCCCGTTATAACGTAAAACGCCCTCAACCCCCACTGCGGCCGGGACGCCGCGTTGCGCACACGGCGGGGGCGTTACATTATCCCCCCTCCCCTGGCCTCCCCCCCTATAATGCCCAGTATCGCCGAAAATAAAGAAACGCGCTCTAGGTATGGCGAAGGCCTTACGGCCGGTGCCGCCGACCCTGAAGGGGGACGACGACGACGACGACGACGACGACGACGACGACGACGACGACGACGACGACGACGACGACGACGACGACGACGACGACGACATCTCCCCCCTCCTCCCTCGTTACGCACCGGTCGTTGAAAGTAGGTAATTTTGGATTCCCGACCCCCGTCTACTTCAAGCGCCTTCCTACTTCATGAAACAACGCTGCAATGTTGTTCATTTTCTGGGAGGCCTGGGACCCAATCGACTCGATCCGCCTTCCTGCTTCATCTTTGTATCCGACTTCTTCCGGCCGGCGCGTATCCTTCCTCTTCGGACCTGTGGTGTTCCTATGCCTTCCACGGCATAGGAACACCACAGATCCGAAGTAGACGGGGGTCTGGGGATCCAAAAGCACCTACTTTCAACGACCGGTGCGTAACGAGGAGGGGGGAGATGTCGTCGTCGTCGTCGTCGTTCGGCGTCTCGTCGTCGTCGTCGTCGTCGTCGTCGTCGTCGTCGTCGTCGTCGTCGTCGTCGTCGTCGTCGTCCCCCTTCAGGGTCGGCGGCACCAGCCGTAAGGCCTTTCTCTTCGGATCTGTGGTGTTCCTATGCCGTGGACGGCATGGGTCCCATGCGGGTCCTCCTCCTCCCACGGCGCTCGGCGGGCGCGGGGCGGTTTCCGCCCCCCTCTCGTGCTTCGCGGGCGGGCTCACGTCTCGCACGGCGCACTCCTCC